TTCCATGATCAATTTTTTCATATAATAATTCTCCGCCACCAATTTGTTAGAGAAGGTTATAAGAAGATGGCTGAATGTGAAAGTACTATTCACACAATTTCAAATGGTGAAGTAGAAAATGATGAACAGAGACGTAAGTCATCAAAAATAATTCGACCATCCTCATCTCATCTGCCTCATCACGATACATTTTTGACATTTGATAATGAATTGAATTTTCCACAAGTTAATTCAAATGCAAATAGGGATCAGCTCGCAGTCATTGGCAATATTGTAAAAATGCCAACATGTCCTCGATGAACTGTTAATATGACACAATTTTAAATAAAATATTTTTTGCATATAATAGGGGCTAAGCAATATGTCTAAATCGTAACCGTGATTTGTTCTAAATTGATGATCTTTGAAAATCATTTTTTTTGTCTACCATAATTTCCCATTGTGGGGTGTGGGTGTGGGTGTGAGTGTAGATTCTCTTTTCTCAGCAACACCCACACCCACCACCTCAAATAAACATGATGCATATGTGAGTTTTAGCTATTAATTTAAACTTACGTTCAATTAAACGTGTATATAATTCATTATATTCTTTCATTGTTTGTCCAAGTGATATATCAGATTTACGTGAACCATAAATTATTAATGATATCATTAAATCATCTTCATCAAACCATGTACAAAAATATTCATCATATAAATTTAACACTTGTGCCGATGATATAAATAAATAAGAAAGATACATAAATGAACTTATTAATTCATATTTTAATTGAATACATACATTATTTGAATTTGTTATTAACTAACGAACATTTAGTTCAATTAGAATTTGTAATGATGATGTTAAATCAAGACCATGAAGAGAAAATAAACGATCGAACAGATGTTGTCCACCAATACCTGTTAATAAAAATGGAATAGATTTATTTCAACATTGATCTCAAATGTCATATCAACTGGATTTCCTGTACAATTTAATCGAAGTACATTTAATAAAAATGTTGTTATAACACGAATTCACACACTCTACAGAGAAAAAAAGAACAGATAAAATCTAGTTTTTTTTAAAAATCCTTTTACCATTGTGTTGCATTTGTTTCTAAAAGTTCTCCTGTCGCTAAATTATTTGTTGGTTGTTCACTTTCATCACTAGATTGATTTGGTGATTTAATTCAAGCTAAAAATGAAACCTATATTTCTTGAAATTGTATTCTTGATAACCAACCAACAAATGATATATGCTCAACATAATTAGTCATTATATCCGAATGTTATAATAAATCAACAGGAAATGACGATAAGCAATAATGATTTAAACCAAATTATAATTTATTTATATCTTGATAATGTTGCTCTCCAAATTGTCTTGGTATACGAATAAATGAATTAAATAGTAGTAAACAAAATAATAATATAGCTACCCTACGTAAGTCACATCGATAAAAATATGGTACATATTTAATTTTTTTTGTTAAATAATAAAGACGATCAATATCACTAAATGATATAAATAATAATTGTGTAAATGGTCGATTATCTGGTTCAATTAAATTTAAGTATCATTGTAATAGTTGATTTTTCTTTTTTTTTGATACAGTTAAACCATATCGTTAATAAAGATATTCAAATGTGAACAATATAGTTTTTGATAATGTACAACATGATAGACGAAAAATATTTTCAGTTTAATTCCAACTAAGAAAAGATAGTTTTTGAAATGTATTTATATAAATGACTTCCAATATAAATATTATAAAATGTAATAAATCACTTCCAATATAAATATTATAAAATGTAATAAATCACGTATGTCACCGGTTGAAAATTGACATGTTAATTCAACGTTATATTGTACTGTATCAGAATAAATTGATATGGAATCTATTAATGCAATTAAATATAGTTGAATTTTAGAACATGATAAAAGAATTTTTATACCAATTCTATCAGCTGCTGTTTCAACATCATTTAGATTTATTTCATTTGATATTAATCGTTGTGTTGGAAAAGAAAAACATAGATTATTAATTTTTTTTTAATTAATGCGTCTGTTAATGCACACCATAAGGATGAAATATTAATACCAAAGATAAGACAATGAGGCATTAATAATCATACAAAATCCTAGGAAGACAAAAAGAAACACAGATTTATATTGTTTCTTATTTTCTCAAATCAATTTTTATTTACTATGAGAATCATCCTAAAATGTTATGCTATGAAAAAAAAGAATTACTTAACATGGGATGCAACGTTAATAGTGAATGTATGATAAAGCTACGATAGTCTTGAATTAATTTCGTTTTTTTTTTATCAGAGAAACTATTGCAAGAAAATAGCTGAGTTTTAAAACAAGAGACTTCACGTCGTTTTCGGAGTTCAGGAATCCGAATATATAGAAGGTTGTATGAACTTCCTTAGATCGAAAAAGTCGAGATGAATATAAGATTACCATCACTATTGCATCCTTGGTCCTGAGCTTTCTGTATTTGCTTAGTAGAATGTGTCATCAACTTGAAATTTCTGATTTCTAAAAATTATTTTGGGTTGCCATTAAATAAAACAATAGAAAACATCTTACGAGATATCTTTAAAACTATTTACAATTATTTTCTTCATTAGTCATTTCATAATATTGAAAAGACTTTGTCTTCTTTAGCTGTATCAGTGAGAATAGCACGTCTCAGAATTTGACCAGTGAGATTCGAGACAAATGATTCGGCCATTGTACTAATGCAGCTTAAATGCTTTCCTTTACAATACACATTACCTGAAATTCTGCATTTTTTGTTTCTTACCTATGTCATTAAAACTCATTCTACTTTATATGTATGTAGGTACAGTAGACCAACTAGTTTTATACTCCAAAATATTTTTCGAAATTTGAATTATTCATAAGTCTCATCTATTACTAACAGCAAAACCATATCAAAGAAAAGCAAACTTTTGCTTTTAATACGATTATAATTTTTATTATATATATATATATATATATATACTTATTTATTTATTTTGATAAATTAAATCTAAAAGATACCGGTAACATCACAAATATTAGTAATTTTTTATAAGTTACATTTTTAAGCATTCGTGCATAAATTTTTCATGTGATATCCATAGAACAATTAACTTTGTTTATCCAATGAATTAGGGTGAATGTAGCTGTGGATGAGTAGGAAAAAAATTTAAACATACTATAAATGGTTATGTGACTCGTTAATTATTAATATTAACGAATTCAATGGTATCTTTCAATAGTTGTTGATCAATATTAAACGTTACATAATTTGTCAATACTTAATATAAAACTAACTAGCAGAAGTACCCGCCGTTGTTCGGGAAAGTTCACGCTTAATATATGCAAACAATACTTAATTGTGCTTGAGAAGATCTGAAAAGTATAATTGGCAGGAAGTAGATATACACAACTACTATTTTTGCCCCCGTGCCAATTTTGATCTAAATCCTCAGGCGTATTCTGAGTCTCGATCTCATCTGATCCCACCCTCAAAGAATATAGAATAATAACATTGAAAGATTGCTCCGAGGTGAGGAATCCTTCATCGCTATATGTGTACATCGAGAAAAACTTGGTAGCTCATATCAATTTTATAGACATTCTATATTTCCAAGTGCATCTCGGAGCACATACTTATCTCAATAGGTTCCGATCCCGACCGATTTTTGTCTTATCTGGTCAGAGTTTCAGTCCCGATCCCGTAGTTGTCTGCTTCTATATTTAGAGGAAATCCATTTGGAAAATCGATTTTCCGACAAACATACAAGGAAACTCCGTTTCTATCAAAATCCAACACGACCACACATCTACTTGATCTAGAACTTCAGTTTTACAATATCTATTGATTTTGAGAGTTACGACAGTACATCGTGTTTTGCACTGCTGAAAACACGCTGAATCTTGATTGGTTGCAAAGAAAGACAGATAAAAAGATCTTCGTGCAGAAGTTCTGTTAAGAATTTAATCATTAAAATCTATGACGAACAAAATCTTGAGCCTAACACACCACTTATTCGAAATTCCCACCGCAGATAATCTCCAAAGAGTCAGTTTCTCTAAAACTCTATGTGTATTTGGCATGGCTCACCCAATTAAGCCACGGGATCGTCCAGTAAGGTTTTGTGCTCGACAGATTTCTGATTCCTGATATTCTGCTTGTCCTCGTTCAATGATATTCGTTTACTCGAAAACTTAAGGACTGTTGGTTCGGGGACTAATAACTAAGTTATCGAGGTGAACGGACCCCAGATTCGAATTTGTCACGTCGAAAAACCCCTGCCCCATCATTTTCCCGAAAGTATAAGTGTTTTTGTCTGTTTTCTTAGGAGCTGAATTCCTATTGGTTTCCGAACAACCAATCAGATTTCGAGGTAAATGGACCGCAGATTCGAACTCAGTACCCTCGAAAATCCCTCGGTATATGTCTTGTGCTTGTTCACAACGTGCTGCTCAGTAGTTCTCCGATACTACCGAATGCTGCAATCTCATTGATCAGATACAGAAGCGGGCCTTTTGCAGGCGGAGGACCGGTTTCTTTTTTTTCGACAAAAAGTAGACGTTGACATTTCTCTGGATGAGAGGATGGTTTCTGGAAAGTTTCGTTGCATTTGTTCGTACCATGTCCAAATGCATGAAGAACAAACAGACAAACAAACTTTTTTCTTTATATACGTATATAGATAGATATAAACGGTTCATCTTTCGTTATTCTTTGATGAACTTGCACAACGTAAACCTTTGAAAATATTTTATTAGTTCAAATAAGTTAAATTTATTGTTTAAAGACTATAATGGATAAAGTATCGAATGATCTATTTGTCAATCTATTTCGATTTTAGAACAATTTGTAACTATAAAAAAAACATATGCATTTCCGGCAATTGTGGAAAGGACGTTCTTCAGTTATATCTCATTTTATCTAGTCTCATTCTTTTCAACTATTTAGAATACACCGTGTAACTATTTATACATTAGATTTTTCAGTCAACATTGATTGTTTTGTTTTAAAGATTAGACTAAAAATAATATATCTTGAAAGTTTATTGCTTCATATTGTTGTCTTTTTTAAAGAACAAAATCATACTATCACATCATTATCAAAGCACAAAAAAAAAAACTAATGAATGAAGACAACAAAAAAATAATATATCAGTGAAGGCAACAAAAAAAAATATCAATGAAGACAAAATAATATATCAATGAGGACAAAAAAAAATAATATATCAATGAAGACAAAAAAAAAATAATGTATCAATGAAGACAAAAAAAAAATATATCAATGAAGACAAAAAAATAGTACATCAATGAAATCATTAAAAAAGAATACATCAATGAAATCATCAAAATGTTATGCATAAATGAAATCATCAAAATATTATGTATTAATGAAATCAAGAAAAACAACAGGAAAAAAAACATACATCAATGAAATCAAAAAAAAAACAGATATTTAAATGTAAAAAAACATCACCATAATAACAACACATTGACCTTGATAATCATCAATTATTCATATATAAATCATTTGACTTAAAGTGATGTTTTTCTTTTTTTATTCGGTTCGCAATCAAACCGACCTAAATACAAAACCATATAAAGAAATATTTTTTCTTTCTTTCTTTTTTTTGGAATATTTACCATTAATGAAATCGTCAGCATTTTTTGCACATAAAGTAAAAAAAAAACGTTCACGTTCATCATCATCGATATCTATAAATAAAATAGTAAATATAATAATCAAACATATTTTAACACATACCACTATCATCTGCTATTTCGATTAATGCCATTCGAGATTTATGGCAAAATTGTTGAAATTCACTTTTACTAAAAGAGAAATATTGTTTATATAAAAACATTTGAATATAACTTACATTTTTAATATTTCAAGTTTTTTTGACTTCGTCATTTTTTGATATAAATTAACATCTTCAATGACATCTGAAATGAAAAACAAACTAAATTGAAAAAAAGAAATAATAAAAACTTACTAATCCATTTTTTTTTCTCATAATTCATGTAAATACGTTTGTGTATATATTTAATTTTTTCATTTTCATCTGTTAATGGATCATCAATTAATTTAGATAAACCCTTAAAAAAAAAAAAGAAAATTATATTTAGGTAATAGAATTAAGAATAATTCTTACTTGAATAATTGGATCACTTGTCTTTTTAGATGTTGCCATCTCAATGCGTGAAGTACAATATGTGACTGTCAAATGAAATAGATGTGTGAATGTTTGTAATAAAGTGTAATTGTTTGTGTGTGTGTGTGTACTAATTTTTTCGCTTTATATACACGTAGAAGAATGAAGAATAACGTTTATATTGGACTATACAAACAGACAAAAGAGAAAGAATTAATAGTACTTCTTGAGGTCGACAACATCTTTGTGTATTACTGGTCATCACAATGAGAGGAAAAAACCATTCTATTGGCTCAACTCGTTCACTTAGTAAAAATAAATCGTTAGACAAGGAAAGAGGGCGTACATTTTCTATGTTGAAGAAAGCGATGAAATAAAAAAATTCTCATGTCGAACGGTACGACTTTGGTACGCGTACGGCACAATTGACTACTCAGTACTTGTGTGGTATACAAACCAAATGCAAACCGTAAAGATTATATAAAGAAAGGAAAAGTGTTAGATTTTTTTATTAATGTTTTTTCATAAAGAAACCAATCCAATTTTTCCCCAAATGAATATTCTTTTGATGCTAAGTTTTTACATAAAATAACCCAAAAGTATCTCGACTTTTCTTTGAATGACTCGAAATTTAGTAAGATATATATAATTATTGTTTTTGAAATTCATTTTTTTAGATATATTTTTCGATTTATTTTTACCTAAATTCTATAAGATTTATTTCTTCTATTTCTTTTTTATTCGGAGAAAAAAAGTAAGTTCAATTGGAAATAATTCTGATTATTTTTGTATTCTCCGATGAGACAATAGAAATCTAATATACTGTATTTTTATTATTGTTTTAAAAGAATTAAAGAAATTTGTATTATGAAACAAGCTTTGAATTAAAGATGACAATCGACTAATGGTATTTTAATGAAGTTATATTTATATGACTTTTGTTTTAATCGACATAGAATCTAATCTTATTATTCTATTTTGCTCAAAGTTTCTGCCGAAAAGAATGTTCCTTTGTCGAGATATTGAATATT